AGGATACATAAGCCAATCGATAATATAGGTAGTTTCTAATTGTTTTTCTGAGAGATTATTTGTAGATTAATCTTTTTACTATTGAGTGAGTTATAACTTTCTTTTTTTCATAAGTGTAGGCTATATGCAAACTACATGTATCAAAAGATTATTTTGCTTTGAATACAATTTAAAGTATATTTGCTAAAAAAATATTTTTGGAATTGGTCGGTTTAGTGTTAAAATATATGGATCTACATCTTCTAAAGTATGATAAATCTCTAATTTTTATAATATGATAAGAGTGTTCAATTTGACTTTCATAATATTAGATATTTTGGTTGAAAATATTTGGGCTTTATGGTTAATTAGCTAATTAAGATTGCAAGTACACTATTGTCAATTTGTAACCTTTAATTGGGCCATGTTCTCTTATCAAACTAACCAGGGAAATAGGTAAGATTTTGGAAATCTCAGGGGTCTAGGTGTATTATGAGAATTCTAAGGAAAGGTTTCCAAATTATCCCTAAAAGCTAATAGTATATTTTCTTTTCTTTTTTTTGAATCTATTTTTTGGTAAGTGGAGGTCTTAGTTTGACTCCTATTTACAAGCCCTTTCATCTTACCACCCAACTGAACTGTCCTCCCTAGTATATTTTCTTTGAATCATTGACTCAATCATTCTTCTAATTTTCATGATTTCGGGAGAAAAAAAGGAGAGAAACTCAACAATTTTTAGGCAGCCATTGCCTTTTAATTTGTAGGGTTTTTCATTAAAAAAATAAAAAAGGATAAGCGTACGGTCAATTCTTCACTCATATGGGGCGGCCACCAAGCCACTCAACCTCAACTTCCCTGTTCATATGGCCAACTCTTTACTTCGCCCGGTAGGTGTCTGTTATAAATTCAGCTATACTTTCATGAATATATCAAAGACGTCCAAGAATTTCCATGAATATGAGCACAGCCATGGTGGCTTTCAAGATGTTTAGAGAGCACCCAATTGTTGGAGATGCTGTTGCAACTGCATTGACCCGTTGTATTCTCCTCTATACCACTCCATTCTGGACAATGATTTACAGTAGGGGGCTTCTTGATCAGGTACGCAAGGCATTGCAATCCTTTTATTTTTAATTTTTGAAAAGAGTTGCGAAGGAGGAGGAATTGAAATGGCAAGAATCTAAGCCTTAAGTTCACAAACGAAAATCCATGCCATACTTTCAATCATTGAACATTAAAGATTTTTAAACTGATTAAAAGGTTATAATGTATCAAAAGTTTATAAAGAAAGGGCCATTTTAAAGCACTACTTTTGTATTGAGAAAAAGAGAAAAGAGCAAAGGAAATTTCTTTTGTGTTTTGGTAGTGAAATAATTGTGCATTTTATTTGATGGTATTTGGTCTCAATTTTGGTCACTTATTATGCAAAGTAATGGGCTTCTGCTCATAATTGATATTTGTGTCAGTTACAGGCGATTGGTGTCAAAACTGGTGAAAAAAGGTCAAATTTCAGAAGATTATTCGTTCCAGAGCGTGCCTATGTCAGAGACCGCAGAGTTACGTCCAAAAGACGGACCGCGGGACTTATCCCTGGAAGCTGCTGCTATTCTTAGGAGACGTGTTTTGAAGCTGCGTGGGATTAGGAAACATCTTCAGAGAATACCATTGGCAACAACTCAAGGAGGAAAATAAGGAAGCTATCCTTCAGGGAAACAAACTCTCAATTGGCAAAATTCGGTGGCGGCGCAAACACTTTAAATAGGACAGCAATAGACAAGGGTCTGGCATCTTTGGTCGTTGGATCTTTTTCTCAACATATATAGAATAAGAGCCGAAGGCCTCTTATGACTTGGAATGGTTTTCGTCGTCTCTCACGTGATAAGCATGTGATTCGCCCTATTTTTTTTAGGCCTCTTCTAACCCTAAATCACGCTCAAGCTTTGAGGCGCCGCTTTTCATCTTCTTCTCTTTTTTTCAACAGATTTCTGACCTTTCATTCGTTCTTCCTCTTCCTCTCCAAATCGCCGTCATCTCTTATCTTTCTTTCCTTCTCATTCTTTGATATTTCTTTCCCTATTTCATTCCTTTTTTGCCTGATTAATCGCTCTCAAATCTCGGCCAACTCGCTCCATGTCCACCCAGCACCACCAGCAGGGCAGCCGCTCCTCCTGCCGCAAAACCAGTCCTCCATAGTGATCTCTTTTTCTTTGGAACCCTCCGCCGTACTCCAAATCCAAGCTATTTTCCTACAGCACTTTTGATTGCAGATCTATATACTCTACTCGCTCCTTTTTCTCTGTCTCACGCCAACTGGTAATATTGCTATCTTTTTTTTAATTAATCGATGTTTTTACATCTAGAGACTTGTTATGGTTTTGAGTTTGGATCATGTTTATTAGCAGCTTGCTTTTGCTTGGGAGAATTTTGAATTTCGATTTTAATTGTGTTTCCGAACGGTCTCCTCTAATTTCTGATTCACGCTTAATTCTTCTGGGGAGTGGTTACCCTGTCTTTTTCCTACACACGGTTTCTGGAGAAAGGAAAAAATTTCCTGACAATTTATTTGTTGATTGATTCAGTCCTGAATCTGGTGAATTAAGGTGACAATTATTCTGATATATGATTGAAATCTTTATCACACTATGAAAAATGTTTCAAAAAAATGTGAAAATTGTGGAAAGAGTTGAGGATTTGAATATCTAGATTCTGAAAGTCGTTAGGGAACCTTTCTTCATCTTGGTAAATGTTTAAATACTTTACAGGTAAGTAGTGTAGTTTTATTTTTTTTTCCTCATTTTTAATGATATCCTTTGCTTTTGGTAGTGCTCAATAATGTAGGTGCAACTATACGTTCAGATTAAACAGACATGAATTTGGAAATTTAGGTAACATCAAAGTAACTGTTATGTGATAGAGCAATTAAACAATTAGGTTTCTTGACTGCACATTTATATTTGAATCTAAATGTTTTACCGTTTGCTTTTGCCTTTTGATTTGCCTACTTGATGCTGTTTGCAATTTGCTTAATAAAGAGATCATGCTAAGTTTGGATGCTGATGTAGTGAAGCAGAATTCAAAGGGTGTTAAATTTAGTGGATCTGTAAAATGAAGAATGACAGCGTTTAATGGAACACCTTGCAGTTTTGTAGTTAATGATGCTAAAAAAAGTAGAAAATTTTCACCCTCTCCCCCCATGACATGCTTTTGTTTGGCAGAATTTCTAGAAAAAGAATGAGAAGGTCAAGTTCAAGTGCTGAGGGGAAAAAAGGAGGAAAATTACAAAATGAGAATCTTTGTCACAATGGTGAAATGACTAGGTTACCTTTTGTACAATAGAAGTTACCCTTTTTTTTTGTTTTTTTTGGGGGTGAAGGTAGTTTCCAACTCTTATATACCAGTATGTACCAATAAATATGCATTTTACACATGGCTGCCCCTCTTGGTTTGTCAATTTAAGTTTCCTTTTTTTTTTAGCCAAAAAGGTATTCCATGACTTTGATATCGTTCAAGTGCTTCTTCCCTGTTTAACATATTCTTAATCTTGGGATTTTACAGAAATGTGAGATAATGTTGGATAGCCTGGGATGCCAAGACAGCCACCTAACTCACAGCCAAATCCATTTGGGAGTTCCTTCTTTGCAGGATTGTCTTTTGTTTATCAGCTTTTGTATCTACTAGATGCTACTGGGTTCTACTCTTTAGGATTACACGTTCTTGGAATTCATGTTTGTCGAGCTACAGGGCAGGAGCTGGTACTTATTCTAGGTATGTGTCATGTGGACTGATCTATTAGATCTACTGTCGTTCTTCTTGTCTGTGGACTATCTTTCCTATCTATATCAGTTTACAACTTGGTAATCTATACTTATATAGGATCTTGCATGGAAATTCATGCATATTTCCAAACCATTAATGTTGATAAAAAATATTTATTCTTAATGATCTATAGAGGCCCTTCAAAATGAAGTCTCTTGATGAATCTACCTCTTCCTCCATCAACCATGGTATTCATGTCTTCTATTGCCCAGTGAGTAACGGTATCATTAATGACATTGAAATGATTTTTCATTTTTTAGTTGGATTAGGCCAAATAAGGTATAAAGATGGAATTTTTAATTCTTTGATTTTGTTTTCGGTGTGTGAAAATTGCAGGATGAGTTGGGAATAGTTGCAAAGCTATCAGAATGTATTGCTTCAATAGGTGGAAACATTCTCAATGCTGATGTTTTTGTGCCCGAGGACAAGAATGTGTTTTACTCTAGAAGGTCTATTGCACTGTCTTGCACTTTGTTTCTTGGTACATTTTTCTATGGCAAGTTAATAAGTTGGTTTTGTCCTTTCTTCTTATTCTTTTCTGGATTATCTGGCTTATGTTTGAGGTACTGTGAAGTGGATTTAGGCCAGATGTTGAGAGTTATGGTCCCTTTTGTGATTTATTCTTCAATGGCAAATATGGTTATTCTTCAATGGCAGATATCGTAATGATTGTTGTTGGTGTTCATCTAAATGATTTTGGGTTAACAATCATAAGGTCAATAGAGTGAGATTTCTTCCCAGCATCCTTCAAAGACTTGGTTGATTGACATTTAGAATTCTAGAATATTTTTCTGTTTCTTCATGTCATCTACCATTTTGATCTTCAGTTCAAATGTCTTTTGCTTTAATACAACAGAGTAGAACATTGGAATCACTGCATTTGCTGCTTCTAATGTTTTTTTGGTTGTCATACGCTTGTGCTTTGACATACCAGAGTAGCATTATTCAATTACACATTGCAATGGCTGTATTTCAAAACTTCAGTTGATTTCTGCAGGTTCTTTCTGGAAACTTCTTAAAAGTTATGGAAAAGCTGTTATTAATATTCATCATGGCTTATTGCCTTCTTTCAAGGGTGGTCATCAAGCTAAACAAGTTTTTTTAAGCCTTTTTGAAATGCTTGTTTTAATCATTATCCTTTACTTCTTTTTGGTAGATTATAACCTGGTATTCACAATTTGCAGACATTTGATGCTGGCGTCAAATTAATTGGTGCACCAAGTCACTTTGTTACTAAAGAACTTGACTTGGCTAGGTTCAAGACTTGACAAGGTTTATGGGTGCACAATTGCAGGTCTGTTGTCTCTATATATCTCACATAGTCACAGGCTAACAAATAATTGCTATCATTCATGCTCATTTTAATTCATTTCTGAAGCAAAGACTGGTTTCTTTTTTTTTCCCGATGATTATAGTATCTAATAAGAGCATTTCCACACATGTCCTTCCAAGATGTTAGTTGAATTTCATTATTTTACTACTTTTCTAGATGTACAGGTATGCATTTCATAGTGTTTTATTTTTCTTTTTTTTTAATTAAGTGTATATTGGATAGGTTGAAGATTACATCTGCAAGTTAGCACAGAGGGGAACGACAACACTCAGAATGGTGTTTCGTGTGACTCGAGGTATGGCATAGTTTAAAATTGTTACTTGTTGGGAAAAAACCAACATCATCTTCATTGTTGCATTTCTATTGTTGTTGTTAAAACTTTTATAATAACATAGGGATTTTTTTGGGCTAGCAGAACTTGCACATGAGATTCCTCTCTACCATCAAGAAAGCAAGAAGCTCTCTCCCAATTGGAAATAGTATGCCCTGTCATCCCCCGTTCTCCCTGTCATTTTTTCTTTTGCAAGAGTGTTTTTCTCTAAATATCTCTCTGGTTATTTGGTGGAGAAAATGCAACATAGGTTGTCAGTTTATAAGTACGCCTTGTTTTGCAACCTAAGCATATTATTAGGCTATAGTGTTCCCTGTCACTGTTTGGTAGACTATATTTATATACTTGTCAAAAAAAAAAGATAATCTATTCTGTTTAAATTCCCATGAAGATTGGACACCGCAGGCAATCATTTTGAAATACTTGATGATGATCTCTTTCTCTCACGTCAAATAGCGATTTTTAGATATTCTATTCTTCTACTTATTCCAGACATACAAACATTGACATCTCAAGACAGCACTTAATTAGACTAATAAGTTGTAGTGAGTCAATTGTTTTTCTAATATCCTTGTTTTCGATTCGTCTGGCGATTCTTCCCCTGAATCTTCTTATGTTGTTTCTGTTATTTGTTTAGTTGCATGATACTCCCTTGTGTAAAGACTTGCGTGACGAGTTTCATGTTGTTGCCTGTGGTGCTCAGTTACAATTCTTGATAAATTGTTATTTTTCTTTTTTCTTTGTTTTTATCTATTTTAGTAATTAATTTGTGATTGACAAGCTAGCCTTGCTTTGCAATTTCTACTGAATTATACAACTGCGCCTAAAATTCTTCCTTTTTTACTCAGTAAAAAGTTCTTATCTTTTCAGGTTGGCATATTGACTGGTAGCAGGCGAGTCATTAATCTCTCTTGGGGCCAAGCGAGGTTTGATTCCTCCTGCTGTACCTGTCAGAAAACACCTCAGGTGTGAATAAGGCTTGTGTTTGAGTTAAAAAGTCAAAAAAAAATAATATTGATTTGAGACGAATATTCTATCTTTACATATTGCTTGTTGTGTATAGGTTCTGTAACTACTTTGCTGCGATGGCCTACTGCCCCAACTGGGTAAACTAATTCAGATCTTCTTAGTTGAGATGTTCTTCTTAGATTGTTTGATCTCAATTTGTAGCATCCTCAGGATGGAGATACCTGTGATACAAGTACAGAAGCACAGGATATGGCTTCTAGCCAAGAATGTAAGTCTTAAGATGTTACGCATCCTCAATTGGGGACAGTATGTTGCTTTACATTGTTATTGTCATATTCATTACCTTTAAGATTGCATATATTGTACTTCCCTTCATTTGCTTTGTTATCTGCATTGTGTTGTTTTAGTTCACATATCTCTTTCACCTTTTGGTAGCGTGTGCTTCAGTGTGTTTACACCTTCTGTTGTTTACAGGTTGCTTTGGATGAAGCAGCTTTCTTGTTGGATTTGGCTTCTGTGGAAAGCACCTGGGATGACAATTTGGAGCGGATTGCTGAATGTTATTAGGAAGCTGGGCTCCATGAAATTGCCAAATTTGTGCTATACAGAAATTGAATTGAAGTTGATTTTGGCATATGCTTATCTTGCTTTCATGTACATTTCCAATTTTGTAATCTGTTGCCGCCTACAATTCTGGAATTACCTCTGAAGATGATAATTTGGATTATGTTATGACGTTGATTATAACATTCAATTGAATTCAAGACCAAGTTTCTGTGCCTTCCCAATCACCTGCACAAGCAGGCCTTTAGCTCTGCGTTCTGCAAAAATCCTAAAACCGCTTATAGAGAGCATTCTCTCTCTCTCTCTCTCTCTCTCTCTCCAATGACCAACTTAAGATTTGAATGCTCTTTTCGATGAATGCTCTATCCTTGTAAGTTCTATGTGTTGAACATAGATGATCTAGATTATTCCTCCTCTCAAAATTGTTGTATTCTTGGTATAATAAAAAAATTTAATTCTAATTCAATTGAAATGTATTCTTTTGAATTTATATACAATAGAAGAAACAAAGAGGCATCCACCATCTCTCTCACATAGATATGCAAGGCACAAATCACACTGTAGTATTCTAGCCAAAAAAAATTAAACCAATTTTCACTGTTACTGGATTCCGCACTTCAGTTTTAGCATTAGTTCACAGCTTCTTTAGCAATCCTCCACTTCCCCTTTTCTTACTGGGAACGATAGCCAAAGAACCAATCTCAGCTTATCCTTTGAATAATTATCACCATTTCACCTTGCCACTTTCTCTGGACGTTCGATTGTCCAATTCGGGCCAAAGGTGGAATAGCAATTACCCTCTAGAATAATTTTCTTGGTTTTAGGAGGCTTGAGATCCTTGGTCTCATATTTGTCTTCAGCTAGCATTTTATTTAGAAGAGATGACCGCTGGCGAGTATTCTTCTCAGAAGTTGTCATGATGACAACAACAGGATAGTTTATCAAAAAAGGCCTTAACAAAAAGAGATGCCTTTATGGGTGAAACCAATGCCTTTAACTACTTCTCATTCCTACAATCTCCCAGTTTAAGATAGTTTCTTGGCACTCCGCCAGCTTTTCTGAAGCTGCTACAATCTCCCAGTCCTACAAATACAAAGCAACAGAGGAAATTCATGAATCACGATATTTTCCAGTTTATTAGTAGGAGAGAAATGACTGTAAGGGATTATGCCACCATCCATGAATTACGGAAAGATCTCAAAATAGTTCAATAATCTTAGAACTCTTTGTGCCAGCGAGATATTCCTTTATATTTCACAATTTTAAAATTCTTTTATTGTTATCCAATTCAACTGAAGGGAAATTCAAAAACTGTACCCATAGCATTTTAATTTCATTATTCAACTCGGTTAACTCATAGTCAACTAATATGAGAATTCAATCACCTTTTTTTTTCAAGCTGCTATAGTCACAATTGGATCAATGTTGCTATATATATAATGAAAATGCCTTCAAATTTAGCTTAATATTTCCCTTTTGTCTGTGAAGCATAATATATACTTGTGGTCACACTATATATTTATACACTTCATGAAAGATAGTAAACTTGATTTTCATGTTAAACAAGAAATGGAATGAGATAAAAGAAGAATTTCCCAAGTTCCAACCAAAGTAGTTCTATATCTCGACAGTACTTTTTCTCTCTTATGAAGTATGATATATTCAAATCATCATATCCTATGCTTATGCACTTCATGAAAAATGCTGAACTTTATTCTCGTGCTAAACGAGCAACAGAGTAAGATAGGAGAAAAATTCACCAATTTTTAACTAAAAAAGTATTAACCTTAAATCCTAGCAATACCTCTCTATAAATCTAAATCAATATTCGTACTATTTTTGTGAAACGATTTTGCCGTCTACTTATTCATGTATATTTATGTTTAGCTATGTACATAAATTATTTACTAACAAACATTTTTGTTCCATGAATCCATATGTTTAAGGGGGCATATTTTATGTTTATCCCAGACCATTTGCAAGTCATGCTTGTCCATGGCGGCCACCTCTTTTGCTGTTATCATATTCAGCAAAAAAGGCATTGAAAAACTGTATCCATGGCATTTTAATTTCACTCTTCATCTAACTTAATCCATATTAGGTTACTAAATGCTTCGATAGCCTTTGAGAATAAATTATAGTTCTGTATCTTGCTCTATTTTAAAGAGCTTCTTTCTACGAAAAGTATTTCCATTGTATATCTTGTTCTGTTCGGCTCCAATCTTCCTAAAAGTACTGTATATTACTACTTATTTTGTGCTCCTGTGTAACCCATATACCAAAAAAAAAATAGTATTAGTGAAAAAAAAAAACCATTAGCCTCAGCCAATATATCCTCCTCCATTACTTTTCCTTCCTCATTATATGCTTGCCTGGGCATCTTCTCTTTGTATACCACGGCGCACCGCGCGGTATATGCCTCCTAGTTCCCTTCTTAACATGAATCAAAGACCAGCGGCTGTACTGCTTTTTACTTCTTTTCAATCAACTAAATTCCATTAAATCTTTCAATTGCATCATCGTTTTGAGGCAAGGCTAGGTTCCTTTATCTAATTGAGGAATAATCAAGGCCCGGTGCACGGACAATTGTGAGATCTTTCAATTGTTTTAAATTCTGCATTCATGAGTATTTAATTATTCCTTGTTTTAATAGCCTATTATTGTTTGGATTTATTGGATTAATGTGGTCAGTTATTCAATTGTCTGAATAGTATACTGCCAATTAGGACAAGGGTGCGTATCACTTGATTGTCTTAAATTAGTGGTAAACGACACAATTTCATTGCCTCGCAAGCAGTCTAATTTGGGTCGTAGAAATAGTTAATCTAGTTTAAATGAACCCGTATGTATGTTTGTTAACTAGAATTGGGTCTCTCTAATTCCTAAGGCTGTGATAGATTAAATCCTTCGAGCGTCTCTGGGGTTATCTATTTTACAAGAGAGTAGTTTAAAAGCGTCTCTGGACTACCGTAAAATTAAGGAGAGATTGGTAGTTTGGTAGTTGCTAAATTGTTAGAACCAATTTTTTGCGAGCGTGTAAATTATTCGTGGTATTTATGATCAATTGCGTGAACCGGTGCCGAAATTACTTCCTTGACTAGGTTGTGTTGATTAATTGTTTATTACATTCGTTAGGTACTACATTTCTGCTAATTAGCAATTCAGTACCCCTACATTTTTAATTTATTTCTTTTTCCTTCCTAAAATCCCCCAAATTATCTGTGTACAATAAATCTACCAGTTCTCTGAAGAGACGACCCTACTCACTACTATACTCATTCAGTTTTGAGAGTAGGCCTCATTATAAATTTTATTTTTAGTAGTTTGACAGCCACCAAATTTTGGCGCCGTTGCCGGGGACCTGGTGCTTGATTAATTTGTTTCTTTTTTTATTTCATCTTATTTTCATGTCTATTTTTTCTCTTATTTTTTTTAACTAGTTTATGGCTGCTAATCTTCTGTATTTTAGTGATGAACTGGATTTTATTTCTAAAATGGGTTATGAGACTCGTGTTTTTTCTAATGATCAATTGGCTGTTGCAAATTGTGGAAGTTATTTTTCCTCAGATCATTCAACCGACATATACCCCACATTTCAAAATGGCCTGAGTGCTCCAATCGACACTTTTGGAGATTTTTCACCTTAATATCATATGTGGTATGACCCTTATTCAAACGGGTATGATCAAGGATGGTGGGACAACTCCAACTTTAATTATACGCCGGAGCCAATCGATTTTTAACATCAATATCAACAGCAACAGCCATCATCCATGTCAAGTATGTCTTTTGAAGAAATGGTTGAATTAATAGCTACTAACATATATCAATTTCAACAGGAGACACAAAGGATGATTAAAAGGATGGAAGATGGAAGGCGTGAATTGGCATCTACAATGACCAAATTGATTTCTCCAATTTATGAAGAATTGCCCTTATAGACCAACATCGATCTTAAAGAAGATGAGAATACAATTATCCTGACAAATGACATGGAACTGCAAGAGTCTCAAGAAGAAGAATCTAAAGATGCAATTGAAAAGAGAATTGAAGTACAAGAAATGGAACCCCAATATCAAATTGTTCAAATGAATGAATCCAGTGAACAATCTCCAAATGCGGTGACATCTCCTCCATTCATTAATCAATATTCTCCTGACTCTTATTCTTTAATTCCTGTTAGTGGATTGACTTTATTATACCAGAAGATTTTGAATTTCATGACAGGAATAAATTAAGAGTCATGATGGCAAAATATCTCGAACCAATACGTGCTCGTGATGGAGGAGTGAGTGAAGAATTAAGGTCATTACTTGCTTGTTTGGTGCCATCTACAAATCCATGAAAAACCGTACCTCGTATGCTCAATAATTACTCTATTT